GACACCTACCTTCACCGTGCTGCACCTGACATGTAGACAAAATACCTACTTTCTGTGATCAATGATGGGTGATGTGAGGCAGAGCACTAGTTGAAACGAAGGAGCTCTATTAGCAGTTAATCTGCACAGTGACAGCGACTGTTCTTCTTTTAGCTAATGTCTAGTCATTAAAATGTGGTTTTAGACTTTATTTATCCTTTCCAAAGAAGAGCCTAATTACCAGAAGTGGCATGTTACCATACTGAGGCAGCTTTAGGGTGAGATCATAAACGAGGCGGGATCACAGGCAAGTCCAGTTTTTTTTTTTTTTCTAGGGTTGGGAAAATTAGCCTCGTGAGACCATCCTGATCTCACAGGCTTTCAAGGTTTCACTCCCAGATCAGTCTGGAGACTCTCCGTTAAAGAAAATTTGGAGCCGTTCACCAAACGAACGTCCAATCAATGTTGGCTTTGAGGCGGGTTGAGGTGTGAGGCAACGAGAAGCGCGACAGTTCAGTCTAAAGAACATGGCGGCTTCAGCCGATGAAACTAGCGGTTAGCGTGGCTATCGAGCAAGTTTTATCGGAATTACAGAGTATTTCTCCACTGAAAGAAGAGCAAAACACTGCTCTGGAGGCTTTTCTCAGAGGAAAAGATGTTTTTGCTCTTCTCCCGACTGGTTTCGGCAAGAGTAGCCTGGCTTGTGGTTGTGTTTTCGTCGTCGCTCTGTTAGTACGTCATACGTTTCGTTGATCTGATTGGTTTATTTGGCCCATCTATCACCAACATAGGCCTACCAGCTAACCAGTATTTTCGCCCCTTCCCAAAATTACTTCAACGGAAGGTTTCCAGATGGATATGCGGAGCAAATCCATCTGGCGGTGTCAGGTTATGGTAAAATATCACCAGGAGTATAATCTGAATTTTCAAAACAAATGAATACTCTGTCGTACCAAAGGCAATATCTCATCATATATGGTCCTATAGTTGACTTTGCCAGGTTAACAAAAAGTATGACATAGAACTTTTAATTTAACATTGCTTCTTGGCAATGAATCTTAAACTGTTGTATAGTCTGTTTACTCCCTCTTAATTGTTGCCACACTTATAAGGGAAATACATTTGTGGGAATTCATGAGAATGTCGACTCTGCTGCCCTTCTCTTAAAATGTGGAAACATTTTAAAAGGAAAAAAAAACATAAAACAGGCTTTGCATAAGTTAAGACTGATCACCGAAAAGCATATATTAGGAAAAATAGAAAAATCGCTGGCCTAAGACAGATTAAATTCCTTCTTTTTTTTTTGTTGGAAAAGTCTACTTGAAACAGTTGCAATGACTTAGAATGATTGTCCAATAACAAATAATTATAAGTTGCAGTTATAACTTACTAATGATTCAATGATCTTCCAAATTTGACCTCATCTCGAGGGTACCAGCGTTCTGCATTCCAGACCTGACATTGTAAACTATCGACTTGATGTATCGCTCCAGGAAAAAAATCCAAGACACCAAAACAAAGCGTTGAACAAATGATCAAACATGTTGCAACAGTAAGAAGGCAGACACAGCAGGAGTAGTCTGGCAGGCACCAGTGAGTATATTATCAGTTTCCAGTCATACGGGGCAATTACACAATCTACAATAGCATCTCTCATCCAACAAAACTTATTCAAATAGTTCATATATCTCTCTCAATATATCTATATATATATTTCTCTGTTGTATCTCAACATTTTTCACAGTTACCATTATCACGATTAGTGCTTATGGTTCTCCTCTGCGAGAATCGTGATCTTTAAAAAGCAGGTTTCTCTGATGTTGCCTTCCTGCACTTGTTGTGAGATACAAGCTCAAAGAACAAGATTTGACACATTGTTACTACGTCATATCGTTACACAGTTACAAAAGTATAATACAACTCAGACGATTTATCTTATATATGAAACTTTCAAGGGACATTATAATGTTGGTAAACAGTTAGGAAAGGCTCTAATGCATATCATGATGATCATACCTGTATTGCAAAATGGCACTAGATGGCTGCTCTTTATCACAGCTGTTGGGAGCAGTTTTTTTCTCTACATCCTTTTGATTCTGAACCTTATTTTGGCACTTCTGGAAAATCTTGTTTCTGAAGGATAACAAACTAACAACTTTGCAAAAGTCTAAATATCTACGTCATGTGATCAATTCTGGGAAAAAAAAATGTTTACAAGAAAAGATATGCCCTCAGTGAATAAAAACACAGTGTGATAGGGATAAACTTGTTTCCAGGGAAAAAAGTAATAAACTTCCAGTGAAAACAGTGAAAGCAAAAACAAAAATCTGTAACTCTTGCTGCTTTTGTGCACAAGGATCATAAACCAGCAAAAATAATGCAGGCAAGTTCACCACAACATCCAACAGAAAGTGTAATAGTATTTGATCCTACAAAAAGTAAAGCCAACATTAGGAAACTAGTATTCAAACAATAATAGCAAAGCAATCGTCAGTTTTCACTTACACTGTATGAATTACCAGCATGTGATCATAGTACACTCATCAACATCGAAGAGGGGTCGTCCTAATCAATAGGCAGTTTACAGGGAGGGTGATACAGAGACATAGCACATTCAGGTCGGACTCTGGCATCCAGCAGTCTGCTTGATGTGAGGCATTCAGATGTAAGAAACATTTCCATACTGATGAAATACAGCTAGAAGGGCTGACACAAGAGCAGCAGATGCAACTTAACTACACTGGTCCCAGAACAGAGTTGCTACTGGAAAACATACTGGCCTGGTATCTTGAATCATGGATATATGATCATTTGGGTTTGTTGCTTTCAGTTGTGCATATGTCTGTATTTCTATCTGAATAATATTAAACCAATTGTCATTTGCAGGTTGCATTTTTTGCCTTCCTTCTAAAAGTTAAGGTCTTGTTGGATAAAGAGCTGGAGACTGAAGGTGATAAGCTTAGGTTAGAATGCAGATAAGAAGCTGCAGGTAAATGGACTTTCAGCTGCCTCTGGATCTACTGTGTTCTCAGACAGATGGAACTATTGAGTAGCGTTCAGCTAACCCTAACCCTACACCTAACCCAGCTGTACATTTTCTGAAAGCTTAAAAAGAAAAATATCAGTATTGGGGGAAAATAGATTATTATCACACTGCTTTTCCATGTTTCCACAACTAGCCGATACTTCAAAAGTGTTTAACCATAGCTGCACAGAGTCGTTGGCAGCTTTGCATGGATGTAAACAGGTGTTTAATAATAAAGTACAAACTATGCATAAAACCCTAAATGACGCTAGTATGTTAGAGTAACTTGTCTGATAAACATCCATTAAATCGCCTCAACTTTTCCTTAATAATAAAGTTTTCAGGACACGAATGACCCCTTTGGCTTTGAAAGTAGGTTACAAAACCTGCATTTACCAAATAGTTCACCATCAATCGAAGCGAAATTGGAAAACAATTAGTTTCACGAATATATATACAGACTAGCTATTTATTTGTTTTAGACAAAGTGTTTCATTAAAATGTTTAAATAATATACCTTTTTTTTTTAAACAGCAACTCTTAATGCTAATATAAGCAAAGAATTTTTGTTTTTAACCATGAATATGACATTTATGAGCCACAAAAGTGAAACCCAACAATGTAAACCTTTGTGCATGATGTGCTGCAATTATGTCCTAATAATAGTTGTTTCTGGTTCCCCAAACATTTCTGACATTCATGCTACAGTGAACTAAGCTTATACTGAATTGAATGCTATACTCAATTAAGCTAAATGTAAGACACTTGTAAGGCAAAAGGTAACAATGCTGTTTTCTATTGATGATATGAAATGGATGATGTGAATAACATGGGTTTTATAGACTGTAAAATTAGGCATGTTAGTGGTTTCCAGATGTCTCTGGATCATTAAGCTAACGGCTGCATCACTGATGAACCAGATTTTTGCATAATGTTGTTTTTCTCTCCCGTTTATAGTGCTGGTTTGTTTTATTTTCATTGTTAATGAAATTAAACACTTAATTCAACTGTATTGGATTATTACCATTTATAATATTAAATAATCACTGACAAATAGGAAGCATAGAACGTAGGCTATAGAAGAGGCAAGCTATTAACTTTCAGATGCTTCTGTAGTTATGGCAAGATGCTAAGCTAAGCTAAAGCACCTTCATCTCCATCTCTAACAAACCAATATGGTATTCTCTTCACAAACAAAACAAAAATAAACTTAATAATAAACATGTTCCCCAAATGCTCAAATATCTTTAAACCTTTCAGACCTGAGTTATAAAAAAATGTAAATATGTTACATCAGGTCTTCATGAATTAAAGTTTGCTGATATGACATCATAAGAATTCATTTTTGTTTGTTTGTTTCTTCTTAAGTTTGCTTGTGAAGTGTGGGCGGTTTCTAATAAAGCCAGGAGATATGTTACATGATCATTGAGTTGGGTGGTTGTACTCGGGGTTAATAAATGAGAATCCATGGAAATCTTCCTGGTCCAGGTTGGATATTAGCTCCTGATCTGCGGGAGTCAGCTCTGGGGGGTTGCGTGTGAAAAAGCGATCAAAGTTCTCTGCATCACGCCCACACTGCCGTGGAGAGGAGAGAGATAGAGGGATGGATTGAGTTTGATGAAGGGTGAGGTGAAGAAAACAGAGACAACAACAACAAAAAGAGAAAAAAGAGAAAAACTAAAACATGGCATCAACCAATCAAATCACCAACAGCCAAAACTGTGGAATTCCATTGGTCTATATGAAAGCAGTGAGCATACAGGTTCTTCATTGGTGACTACACTAACAAATCTTAGTTTTCCATTTGTCAGAGTAGTGACCAATGGTAAAGGATGGTTGTGCTCTGGTATTTGAGGATTTAACCAGACCTATAACTTACCTCACAGGTGGGATTAAGTATGCAACCTCCTTTGTTATTAGGGAAAATTTCTAATGCAAAAAGTAAGGACTGAAAACCATTATAAGTGCGCCGTGTGTAAGTGTGCAATATACTTACAGCTTTTGGTTTGAAAGGGGGCTGGACCTCCTTATTTTCCAGTTTTTCCCAGTCGATATAGCGGAAGAAGGCATGCTCCTTGATGTCCCTTTCTCCTTCTGGACCACAGCCCAGGCGCTTCGCAGGGTGTTTGGTCATCAGCTAAAAACATACATTTACAAATAAAGAGGTTTCTGCATGATAAATTATCCCAAAAATAAGTGGGATAAATGATAAGATCATCTGCAAAATGATGCTAAAATAATGTCAGTATTCCTTATTAAAGATTAATAAACTTTAATTTCTAAAGAAGGCTGGAACTGGAGGACAACTTGAAGTCAGTTTTTTTTTTAACTAAGAATTAGATTGTGAGAAAAAACTAAAAGAAAACCAAAATACATAAAATGGAAATAGAAGTCACACAACCAAAAAAATCTTTGATCGTCTTAAGTAAGTTGTTTTTTGTGCAGCTGTGGTGCTTTCTTACGGGTTTGTTTTCCTGTTATGTTGCATTTAATGTAAAACTTTGAACCATTTTTTGAAATGCCTGATTATCGACTTCACCAAAAGAGAAGTTTTTTGTATTGTTTTAGGCCATTAAACTTTCCAGTGACAGTGAAGACTGAGAAGCCCACTGGTTGCTGTTTTTCCAGCTCAGGAAACTGCATAGGTTGAATTTTCTGAAAGCTACAGGTTTGATGCATTGCCACTTTTAATTACAACTGGTTTACAATAAATGCATCATATTTGTCCGGGTTAAGTCATTTAACACAAACATAATAGACATCATGAATAGATTTATTGTCGGTTGTGACAGTCCTAATAAGATAATTAATGATTAAAGACTTTTGCACAATTTATTGCAATAGCCATGACTTATTTTAAATATTGGTGGAAGAGGATGCAGGCTTGCTTTGCTCTCTAAGCTGCAGCCACGTGAGCCCGCCCTGTCAAGTTAGCTATAAAGCCTCGACACCCCCATCTATCTTTCTCTTTTGCCCTGTGTCCATTGCACAGCCAGATTGGGGGGAATCACCTGAATGGCTGTCTCTGCAGGATGAGGGAACACATTGTCCAAAATCTGTTGAAGGTGAAGTAAACCCTGCAGCATACTGTCCAGAACCAGACAGCTGCAAAACAGACTAACTGCACATTTTCTCACTCTAATTTTATAAGAGCTATTTGTTAGACAATTCATCAGGCCCCACTAAGGACAAAACTAGCCTGCTGCCAGGCTTTCAAGCCATTGGCAGCCAGTAGCATCTAGAAACTCTTCCTCCTTTCTTAAAACTGAAATCAACAGAGGTATTAGGTCTGTCCAAAGACAGTGAAGGTGTCTGTTGCTAAACAATTTTTTTTTTTTTTATGATTTCTGATTATTTCATTTGTTTAGCTGTTTTCTAACAGCAACCCAGCAGAAACTGATAGTAACCACAGGCAAGTGGGAGCAGATCCTGATAGGTTTTGGTCTATCACAGCACTTTAAAACCACCCTCCTTGTGTCTGCTAGCATGAGGTCCATTGTCTTAATAAGCAAATCCTAGCCATCAGGGTTCCTACCCACTGTTATTATCTCAGAAACACTCAGTTCTGTACAAACTCTTTATGATAAACTTTGGTTATCAAACATAAAATCCATGTTGAACTGTAAAACCCTTGCATCATTTTTATAGATTATGGTTTTCAACCATTTCTATTTGCCTTTATCTTCTATGTTTATAAAGAATGTAATTAGTTTCACTAAGTGTTTTCAACTAAAATCTGCTATACCTGTAGTAGAAATATTTTTGTTCATACATTCCTATATGTGTAAGTTATTCTTTCCACCATGAGCAGAGATTTAAGCCCTATTTCATCTGTTTTCCTAACACAAAGCCAGATGGGTGTGTGTTCACAGAACAACACAAACGTCCTGAAATTATTTGATTAAATATTCAATAAAATAATGTCACAACAACAGCAATATATGTGCACTGAAGTGTGTCCTCACCCCCTTGCAGATAGCAACAGCTTCTTTCGACATGGATTTAGGGTAAGATACATGGTGCTCCATGATTGACTGGAACAGCTCGTCTTCATCCTCGCCATCAAACGGAGGCTGCAGAGGAACAAAAGCACAATTTTCAGTTGTTATTTCCAATATCATAGCTCAGAAAAAAAAAGTGAAAGTTTTTTAGCCGCTTCTATAAACAATGCAGCATCTAAAATGTCTATCACTAGACCACAATAAGGTGTTGGACACAGCTGATCATTATTGATGGAAATACGAGTAGGCTTCTTCACTATTATAGTCCTTTAGATCTTTATAGGAGCAGTCACATGTGGTGTTCTTTAAGGCTTCATTCTATTGCCAGTTCTGTTCGAAATCTAACATTTCCCAAAGAGAGATTAGGGGATACTTTAGCATTAAAGGTACGATGATGACACATAAACTTATATTTTTGCCAGCGCATGTCCATAGTATCCTACAGTCACTGAAAAACAAGAGTTTCACAAACCTGTCCAGCAAGCATTTCATAAAGCAGCACTCCAAAAGCCCACCAATCAACAGACTTCCCATAAGGCTGATAGGCTATGATCTGCAAAAAGGAGAAACATGGCTATCAAAACTTGGGAAAAAAACGATCAAAAGCATCCGTTTAAACTTCAGAAGAAAACATTAACTCACCTCTGGGGCAATGTAGTCTGGTGTCCCACAAAAAGTCTTCGTTGTTATGCCGTCAACCATGTTCTCTTTGCACATGCCAAAGTCGGCGATCTTTATGTGGCCTTCTGAGTCCAGCATCACATTGTCCAGCTTCAGATCCCTGCAGAGAATCACAAATACCCACTCCCAGTTATTACTTACACCTGTATATTTAGAAAAAAAATATATAAGGCTCAAAATAAGTGGAGAGGAGTGAATAACAGACTCACCGATACACAATGCCTTTGGAGTGAAGGAAGAAGAGACCAATTGCAATTTCTGCTGCATAGAACCTGAAACACAGAACACAACGTTAGACTTCATACAGTAAAGATGCAGCAACTCTTGGAAGATAATGCTCTGATATTTTCATGGTTTTTGGTTTAAAAATAAGGTATCCATATATACCTCAAAACATCTGTGAGATGTTTTGAGGTATATCTCGGCACAGGAAGAGTAACGTTGTAGATGACTACTATAATTTCTTGAGAAAGGCTTTGCTCAAAGGAGGCGATAGTTTGCTTTGTGTTAGAAATTTAAGTCCAAGAAAAAAAGAAGAGGAAATACTATGACTAAAAAATAAAAGAGGAACAAAACATTTGCATTGTTTGCATCCCCTTCCTTTTTTTCACCAGTTTTCTTTGTACACATGTAGGATTTTTTTTCTGTACTCATATTAACAAATTCTTCCATGTGGTTCCATTTGCTGGCAAAGTCAGAGTTGGTTTAGTACATCAGAACCAGAGAAAAGCCAGGCTGCCCATGTCAAAACACCAGAGCTAATTTTCTATCTTTATTGTTGTTGAAGCTAGCAGAGGACCACATAGTGTGATGGATGTATGGATGAAAGATATGGACCGTATAAATTGATAGATCGGATAAATTGACAGATTCATTGACTGGATGCTTGGTTCCTTAGGAAGAGAAGAGAAGGGGAAGTTTGGATGGCTGAATGGAAGCATGCCAATCTCTCTTCACATCTCCAGCCATTATCTGTGCTCAAACTTTTTCTTCCCTTATATGGTTCTTTAAATTTATTTCCTGCTGTTCAACAATCTGTAGCAATCTCAGCCAAAATGTTCCCTGCCAACAAACTGGTCTAACATGAGCCCTGATTGGACCGGTGTGCTTGGATCTAGGTACAGTTTAAAATTCCAGACTTATGCAAAGAATAGTCATGAGATTGTGATGGTGCTACAAACTGCACCACTGTGGCACCGTTGCCTTGCAGCAAGAAGGGTCCAGGTTCAATTCCGGCCCGGTGTCTTTCTGCACGGAGTTTGCATTTTCTCCCTTTGCATGCCTGGATTCTCTCTGGGTACCCCGGCTTCCTCCCACAGTCCAAAAACAGGACTGTTAGGTTAAATGGCATCTCTAAATTGCCCTGTTTGATTGTGTGTGTGTGTGTGTGTGTGTGTGTGTATGCATGGTTGTATGGCTCTGTTGAAGTTGTGTCTGCAGAGTCTGATCTTTTCCAGGCTGAGACTGTCAGAAAAATCCTCCTCAGAATCATTAAGTCTCTGTTTCAATATATACCAAGCTGTGTCTTTCAGACATCAAAAACTTCTCTTTAACATCAGGTAGAAAGTAAGACAAAATGTGGTTTTGCAGACTCAAACGTATCTGTGGTTCAATTAATACTCACACAGCATGAGGCTCCTTGAACTTGCCAACCTGTTGGATTTGGTACATCAGATCTCCTCCATTGATATATTCCATGACAAAATACAACCGATCCTACAGGGAAGTAAGTAAAGGTAGGTGATCTAACTAAAAGGAAAAAACAAACAAATAGTAGTTTCATATGAAGACTGGCCAGAAGATCTTTTTGCACAAACCCTACCATAGTTTGGAAGCATGAGTGCAGCTGAGTGAGGAACGGGGGTTTTCCAGACAGAGCCAGAACTCTTTTCTCCACCATGGTGCACTCTACATCGTCATCTTGGATCACCACATCCTTCTTTAGGATTTTGATGGCATACAACTCATCTGTACATTTCCTCTCCGCTAACATCACCTAAAGGGAATCCATGGAAATTAAACTCTGTTCTGGTTTACCATTAAAACAAAACACACATCTGACGAGAGGACTCACCTTTCCAAAGCTGCCTTTCCCAAGAACCATGATAAAGTTAAAGTCGGTGACCTTGACGCGGTCCTGATTGCCGTTACTGTCGTACTTGTAAACCGAAGATGAGGAAGAGTCCGTGGGTTTTCCTGGACCTATTTTTGCCCTCTTTAGAACAACAGAAATACAGCCCGCTTAAAACAAATAAGCAGAATCAAATTGAGCTTTTCTACTTGTCTAAATCTTACATCAAACTTTTGTCGGAGTGCATCATTGCAGTCTTCTCCATCTGGTTGGACAGGAACACTGAAGTATTCACCTTCCTCCTGGGACAGCAGCTTAAACCTGAAGTCCAACATCCACATCAGTATTAAGGGCTGCCTTTGTTATTCTTATATCCAACATAACAATACAATATTAGTATCAAAACCCCTGAAACTTTTCAGATCTTCTCACATTTTGTGTGTTCTGGGTTTCTATGGAAATTAGTTTTTAGCTTTTAATCAACAAAACATTTTTTTCCACAACTTCTTGAAAAGTAGCTGAGATAGTGAGATTGAGCAGACAGCATCTATGAAAGTGTTACCGCTGATTCTTATCTGAATTGAGGGCTGGGTTTTGACATGACCACTCTAAGACATTGTCCTTGTTTATGTGTGCAAATTTCTCTCCACACATGGAGTTCTACATATAGATTATTCGAGGGCAATATCGTCTGCATGGAGAACCTTTGCTCTATATCTGCAGTGTTCCCAGCATGTTTTGTGGCAACTTCATGTGGGCCTTTATTATTTATTATTTCCATTTAACATAATTGCACATCTAAATAAAGCCAACAGTAACTCTTCTTCACCATTTCTCCGACTGCTGTTGTTTTTTTATTTATATGTGGAGAAAATGTTTTTCTGTTTTAAAGACCTTTTAGTCATAAGACTAGGCCTAAACTGTCCTTTTAGTTAAAGGGGCTCAGTTTATCCTGGGCTATCTCTATAGTAATGCTGCTATAAGCTTAGACTGCTGGAAGACATAGGGAACCCTTTTCATCATTGTGCTTTATTCTATCTCTATTCTCCCATTCTAAAGTATTTGTTGGTTAAACCTCTAACTTTTTGTCCTCTCTGTTTTTTCTCTTCATAGTAGCTTCATCCGGTCTGTTTTTGTGAGGCTGTGACAACAACCATGGAAAGAAATATCAGCTATGCAGCTGCCATCAACATCTACAGTTATAGATGATAGTTTAGGACCTGTTTTAGTGCTTGGCTCCATTGTTTGCTTTCTTGATTTCTGTCACACTGCTAAAGTATCAAGACTAACCCAGAGTGATGGGCCTACCAGCGAGGGGTTGGACACAGGTGGGAAGGGAGCCAAATGCCGAGTGTTAGCGGGTCGAGCCATGTTGGGAAAAAAACCCATAGGGTTTACTTATTTATCTGGGCTGTCAGAAAAGGTAGACTCACAACCCAACCCAACACAACCCTTAATATTGTTATTCTTAACCTGTTTGTTGTTTGGCTGATGTAAACCCCTAGATTGAGTTTGATATGCACAGGTGGTTGGTGCGGACAGACATGTTTCATTTTCAATTAGGGCGAAATCCCTACAGAATCCCAAAGTGGACATTTTTAAGTAAAACACAATATCCTTCTGTACATAAGCACACTGTCTTATATATATGTAAATAGGAGCTCATCTATCCAATGACTTCATTCAAATCAGATTGTGGTTCTACCAAATCTGCCGAATCAATTAGTTAAACTTTTTCTAGATATTACAAATGGGCAAGCAAGGACTGACCCAAATCCTGCTCTTATGTTTCTTTTTCATTTGAGCCCGTATATAAAAACTGAACGCCTTTAATTCAACACTTTGATAAAAAATAATTGCCTGGTTTTTTTTTTCAAACAATTAAACGCTTATTTTACTGTTAAGCTGGCAAAAATGTAAATATATTTTGGTTTTTTATTCTTTTCAGTATACTTTGATGCAAAAATGCATTAGAGTTTATGGCTTTGGCCCATGTATCAAGAGTTTGGACATTCCTGGTCTATAAGATGCTGTTTGAACACCAACATCAGGCATACCTCTGAAACCTACAGAGGGCAGCTGGATTTATGAGACTAAATTACATGTATTAACACACATCAGGTATATTCTAAAGGGACGAGGTTCCAGCACATTTAATTAAGGGGTTTCACATTTTATGGGCTCGCTACAAAGTTTCCTAAGTAAATATATTATAAAAACATATGTCCTCATTTACACCTAGAAGCTACTTTTTGTTGGTCTAAAACATATAATCCCAATAATATGCACATATCTGCATTTGTAATGAGAAAGGAAAGTGGAAAAGTTAAAAGGGGTGTGAATACTTTTGGAATGCCTAGACTATCCTCACCATCCATCTACTCCTTGTTTCTGTAGCTCTGAGATGCCGAAGGACAGCGAACCCATGAAGTCGTTCCGGCTGGTCAAATCCCAGTCCCACACCTCCACTGAGAGACGGCGGTCCTTGTCTGTTTCTTTGAGTTTACTAAAAGATGACAGCAGAAAGTGGGACTTTACTTTAGAAACCAAAGGACAGGGGTTCTCTATATGTTACCCACAACTAAATGAAACTTTGAGGGCATAGTGACCCAGAAAAAAACAAACCCTACAGAAAATAGGACAGGCCTTTCTTTCAAGTGTGAACTTTGTGATTATGTAACTTGAAATAGCACCAACTTTGTCTTTTTCCAAATAAGGTCAGGAAAGGAGCAAGTTGATTTGAAATGACTGAACAAAGAGTAAAGAAGAAAAAAATTCTCACAAAACAAAGGATTCATTCCAGGTGGGGTTGAGGCAACATTTTATGGTCTTCGTCTTCTGCTTGCTCTCACTCTTGGGGTCTGGGATGAGCTTGAGTTTAACATATGGGTCTGAGAGGCCGTTTGGGTCCATAGGTACCAGGTTCCTGGCCTCTTTGACTGACGAGGGTTAAGGAGAGAAAAAAAGGTTAAATGGAAAAAGACGACATTTCATTTCTGCTCTGAATAAGTCCAAATCTGGTAACATTTAACACCTGTTTAGTTTCACTTCCATAATCAATCCACAGTGTTCTGGCAGAGGAAGCCAGCACGTGGCTGCACATCCCGCTGCAGATGTGGGTCAATCGTTGGATAATTGAACCACTAAATGGACTTTCCAGTTTCAGTCTTAGTTTGATGGAGCGTTTTGCTTGGAGAGTGCGTGTGTGAGTTTTGTCAAAGCCAACACTAAGAGATGAATGGACAGGGAGCACTCACTGGTGACGGCGAGAGAGTTGTCTGTAATCTGGGCGGAGATGTAGATGCGTCCTCTCCTTTCCGTGTGATCTGTTCCACACAGGCTCGGGACGTTGGCGACACATCGCTTGTGGATGTTCATCATACAGTCTGCGAAACAAAAAAAAAAAGACACACAGATAAGTATCTAATTTCCTTAAGATTATCACCTTTCTAGCTAATAAATGACCAGAAAAGGACATTTAGACTTTATTTTGTTGCACCCAAAAAATTACTTCAAATGAACTAATTTGTTCCTTCATGGATCATTTTGAACTTTGATACAGTAGGATTTATTTTATTGGGTTTGGTCCAGTTAAAGAAAGAAGCACAAATGAAGCTTTTTGTTATAAGAAGTTAGCTCCTGTCTTACAGTATAAAGGAAAAAAGACTTAAACACGACCCCTCATAATTAGATTGCTTACAAAGGAAAGCCTTTTCTACAATAAATAACATATTTCTAGGTATGCAGACTTTTAATTTCACCTCCTTAGAGAGAATTACAGCAGCAATTCCTTCTCTAAGATTACTGGGGAAACGCATCATGTAACTTCAGCTGGATTAAACAGACATAGATCCTGATAAAATCTAGATGATTGTAGGCACTGATTTGGAAAATCTTTTTTTTACTTTACAAACGTGTGCTAAGGGAATATATAGCTAGTTGGACAAAGTCTCACAGCAGCAGATGCTCAGACCCAGCACTCATGACTTCGCCCAAACTTAATTGTCACAGAGGGAGGGAAGCAGGGATGAGAGAGAAGATGGATGAAAATCTTAGATCTTCTAATACTGTACAGTCCTATTTAACCCCAAATATGTAGAAAAATAAATTAAATAATCAAGACAAATGTGCAGGAATAACGTCCAGATTCAGTTTAGGTTTGATGCAGATCTTGGACAACATCATCTATTGCTCTGTTAGCTCACCCTGCACATGAGACACATCTTTAATGCATAGTATGGAAGGGGTCTTTGAAAGACACACATATTTGTAAGTAAGTAGAAAAAAAAAGTCACTCACTGGCAAAACTAATAAGCACAAGCATTATTCTTCAAGGTAGATGTTTCTTAGCATATTATAAAAGAGTGGATTAAAAAACTAAATACATATCTGTAAATTGTACTGATACAAAACAAAACGCATTTTATCTTAATGAAAATGTTATTGGTTAAATTGAACAGAGCATTACAAACTGCAAAAGAAAAAAAAAATACTATATATGTCCAAATAAAAATGGAGCCTGCAGCTATACTCCATCTGTCCACTAGATGGCGGAACATTCTGAGCTTCCAGGCCAATCACAGAGCCCCAATCTCCCATCTATGGATGGGGAGCTGCTCTGCGGATATGTAAATCTCTTCCCCTGGGTTCTGAGGTTAAATTAAATCTCACATCTCTGAAAGAAAGAACAAAAAACATCATTCAATCAGGCCCCCAACATTGTATCCCACTTAGCAAAACTAAAGGGAGGTCTAAATGTACATCACTGTGAGGACCTGAAGAGGTCACCTCATTCAAAAAAGGTCATGTAAATGGAATAATAAATGATTGGTTTTTCTAATAGTTTCAATATTTTTTATGTAAAGGAAAGATAAATCTTAAAGCTGAACCAGAACAAGAAGATTTCTTTTTCAATTGGGTCCTTATTAAAGCTACAGTGTGTAATTTTCAGCGACATCTAACGTCCAGACTGCAGATCGCAGCAACATGAACATCTCCCCCCCACCGCTTCTCCCCCCCAACAGTACGGCGAGCGTTACGGGACAAAATGTCTTCCACGACGTCCGCATCACCTACCTTCTCAAGTGATGAGGTTTGTTTACATAGATAATTTTACAGATAGTATTTCATTAGTCTGTGTGTTCAGTACCGTCTCAGTTCTTCTCTCTCAACTTGCAGTAGTTACTTTCGAGCGTAATGGGCGATCTCGCAATCGCTAGTTTGTTGGCTCTGCGCTGCCGTAG